CAAGTTTCATGATGAATGCGGCTAAAGTAAACAGTCCCTCAGAGAGCGGCTCGGAAGAGAGGGGCGGAGTCTGCAGAGCTCATTAACATTTAAAGGAAAATGCTACAAATCTGCATGCTCTGAAAAGAGCTGTTTTTGACAGGGTAAAAAAGGTGTTTTTTACACTACCATTGAGAAATTTTAACCAAACTATGTTACAGACTTTTCATTAAGACCTTAAAGAATCATATCAACTTATGGAAAATGGGCATCCTATGACCCCTTTAAGAATATAATGTATTAAATATTCTTAAGACTGCCATGCGTATTTTAGAGAAGTCTAAAAGATATAATAGTTGAAAAATAAAATAAAAATGGAAGTAATGTCACAAAATTGTTGTTTTTACTGCATTTGTGATCAAATAAATGGAACCTTGGTGTGCACAAGTTGACATCTTTAAAAACAAAAAAAAACTATAAATATTTCTTTAATCAGGGTCTATACATATGCAGTTTCTAACAGTTTTCTCACTAAAACCTTTATTTGAATAACTTTTTTTTTGTTTATGTCCTTCCTGTTTGTGCGTCTTTATTATTCACCTTATGGTCACTTTACATTCCAGTCATACGTTTCTTTCCATTTATGTGGGCTGTTCTTGACCAGAATACATTACAGTGTGGATCAGGATTTATGGCGATAGTCAGAAGTGTTTCATGCAAGACTAAGACTTCAGAGACTTTCCATCCCTCCACAGGGCTGCACCGGCTGTATAGTATCTGTGGGTGGGCAGATCCCCAATAACCTGGCCATGCCCCTGCACCTGAACGGGGTGAAGATTCTGGGAACCAGTCCTCTTCAGATCGATCGTGCATTAGAGAGATCTGTATTCTCTTCCATACTGGATGATCTGGGTGTAGGCCAGGCCCCGTGGAGGGCTCTCAGCTCACTGGTAAGGCCAGTTTCACTTCACAACAACCTTCATCTGTGGTTTATTTCAGGAGAGATGAAAGGGGTGTTGTTACTGGTTCTTAATTTTAAATGCTTTTAATTGAACCACTAAATAATAATTCTGTACGCCGCTATCTTGATGATTCACATCATGTTCAAGGATAAAAGGGACAGGATTGGCTGGAGTTTGTTTATTTGGGTCAGTTGAGTAATATAGATGTGATTTTGCAGTAATCGTGAACACCACTCGCTTTACTTATGCATTTTCTTGTTTAATTAATCATTTATTGCTCCATTCATTCTAGGCTTTTAAGAAATCGCCCACTCACACAAGTGCAGATGTTCTTCCAATATAGTTGCATTTCCAGACTTTTCACTTTTACAAATGCTGCATTCACCCCAATACTCCAGAGGTGTCAGAGTGCTTTCAAACAGCAAACATTAGAAGTGCTGAAACATGTTGACTGGAAGCATGCTCGTTCGTCCGTTAGCTACATCCAGCCTTCTTGCCCCGGGCCATGGAAGCGAAGAGCTGAAGTAAGTGTGATGAAGGGGGGAGAAAGGGGGCATTCTGCCCCACGGCGCTGCCCACTCACCCTCCGCTGGTCTCTGTCTCGCTGCTGAGGGTACATCCAGCATTTTAATGGTCTCCCTGTTGTTGAAACTAGCCAGAAAGGCAGTAGAGATCAGCAGAATATTTTGGGATTCTGCGGTTTCTGGCTAGAAGGCTAGTGCTTAGGAAAGGTGAGGAGAGAGGATACGGTTGCTTATGTCACACAGCATTTCCTGCTTTGTTAAAGAGATAGTTCACAAAAAAAAAGAAAATTCAGTCAGCATTTAGTCATCGCTGTGTCGTTCCAAACCTGCACTCCTGTTTTCCATATAATCTACAAAAAATAAAAAAGCACCATAAAAGTAGTCCAAACATCACATGCAGTGTATTCCAAATTTTTTAAAGCTTTACAATAGAGTGCTGTAGGAACGAGTCCTAAAACTCAGAAACGAGTTAGTATTTTTGCATTTATGGTTCCATTGTCCCAAAGTCAATGGGTTTTCTTTCAATTGAATTGTGTTGGAGAATTAGTTGTACAAAAAAGATGAGCTTAGCAAAATAAAAGATTAAAGAATTCTCCGAAAGTCATTAGGTTTTTAGAATGGGTTTTGGTTAAATGCCCAAAATAAGGTCCGTGGATAACTTAAAAATATGTAATATTTTATACTACAAATTAAAATAAATCGGTAAGATTTTTAGTAAGCTTCTATGTGCTTTTAAAAAGATACTAACCAATGGCTATTTGGGACTACAGAGGTTGTCGGGATATTAAACATCATCATGCCAAACAGAAAAACTCTCCACTCATCTCCACTCCAACTCTCCAAAATATCCACTTATTTGTCTGCTTTTACAGCCTCCTAGTGTTTCTTGCAAACTATTCTAACTCCAATTATCCAACTGGTAGACTGTCTTTTTACTGAAGGAAATGGGGTGATGCTAACTTCTGGGTTGACTTACAAAAATGTTAAGTAATGTACTTAAGCTTTGTCTGTGAAACTGGAGGTATGTGAGGTACAGATGAAATTTGATATATATTTTTTTTAGTTGATCAACCCCTATACTGTAAGCTCTCAAATGGATACTTGGATGTTAATTTTAATGTTAGATTTGTACAATATAATGCTTTTATGGATGCATTTTAGCTTTAGTTAGGCAGTATTTTCTCCAATACGTTTGGCAAAAGATAATTCCACTTGCTAATAAGTTTGCTCCAATACAGGGTTGTTCAATCTTATAGTTTTTCTCTCTGTGAAGTAGCCAGTTCACAAAGCATTAAAAATAAGGTGAATAGATGTGGTCAATGGTAATTGTCTGGCCCTTTGCCCACAGTCTGGGATTCAAATGGAGAACAGAGCACAAGAAGCCTGACCTCATCTTCAGCACATACTAGGTGATGCCGTGCAGCTGATTGCAAAGAGATGTCTAACTTTCTGTCTTTTTCAGGAGGATGCTGTTTCTTTTGCCAGTACTGTGGGCTACCCTTGCCTCCTGCGGCCATCCTATGTTCTGAGGTGAGTACAAGGGGAACGGTGAATTCAGGACACAATCACAGTACGGAATTGACTCCCCATGTGATGCTTTTGTATCTCTTTGGCAGAGACTTTTGTGGGATGAAAAGCCAAAAATGTAATCACATTTCACTAATAATCTTTCCCTTCAGAGATTGAAAACTATTGCAGTTGGATTAGTTACTGAACAAATCGACTTGATTGGTGAATGAATCATTCAAAGGGTGTATTTAAAATAAATCGGCTCAAAAGAGTGATTCTCTAATCCAACGATTAACAGCTCCATAGGGCATAATCTTCAGTGAATTAATTATTTGAATGAATAATAACAACAATGATGATAATTAAATTTTCCTCACATAAATATGGTCCCTTTCTGCTACTATGAATTGTCATCGTATGGAAAAGACCAAAGTGAATGTTTCGGACCAAAAAAAAAAAACCAACAACACAAGTTTTCATTTTTGATTCCATTAATAGCTCTCCCATGTTCATAAGTAGACTGCCCTGAATCAAATGAAAGTAGACATCAGTCAGTGTAAAGCAGTCAACTGCTGATTTGTCAGGAGCAGAGAAATGTCACGTCGGGCTTCTCAATGACGGCCTGTAGAAATCTTGTGTAATATGCAATTCACCCACATTATAAGACTCTCAGATTGGCAGGACTTGAACAGCTAATTTGCACATAATCAGACCGTAGGCATCCATTTTGAGTGCCGCGATGGGAAAAATTAGGTTCCTTTTAAACCAGGTGCCCAGTCCGCCGTGCAGCAAGAGGGCACACAGAAATAGCTAAAAAAATTCTGCTTTTTAACCATTACCCAATACACATCTCAATCATAAAAGCACTTTCATCAGTGGAGCACTTTTCTCTTTGTTCTCATTAGATGTTGCCTCAAAGGTTACTGTCTGTTTTGAGAGAAGATTAGAGCTTTTTTTTCTCAGGGAACCACAGCAGTCAAAATACAGAGACTCATATTGTGGCAATTGTGAAGCTAATAGATATCAGTGGAAGGCGCGGAGCACAAATTTTCAGTCTTGCCACCAGACTGAAAACATATGAAACTAAAGCTAAATGAAAGTAAAGTGCTTTAGCACATTTATTTATCACTAGCAAAATCTTTATACCCTTTTAGGGTATAAATCAACACCCACATACAATACAGTCTCTTGCAGAGACAGTGATTTGCTTTTAGTTTTCAAGAAAACCCAGCTGCCAAAACTAGGCCATTTTTGTTTTTTGTTTTTTTTACTTTCATTCATTTGTCTATTTACTGCCCCGTGTGACTCCATCACCACTTAGCTGCTCAGTTGAGACCCGTGTTTTGAGTCCTGCTCTGTGTTTCTGTGGGTGATTGGTGCCAGCTGTGGTTTGGCATTGTTATATTGCCTAAACCCGTGCCTGAGGCTGAGACTCTCAGGGACTGCAGCTCCGACACAGAACCTGACAGAAACACTGCCAGTTCATCTGGACCGTGGAACGCTTCATACTGAAGAGAGCTTAGGGCTGTCTCAGTATATTTCCCACTTGTCTCTCTGTTCACTGTATTTTGATGTGTTTGTGAAACATATTGCTGAGTGACCGTTAAATAGTGTAAAGGTAAGCAGTGATCACCTGCTGTAATATTTTATTATGGGATGCAACCAGAGTTTAAAATGAACTTTTTGGCTTAATAAAAGTATTGATTTCTTTAATAAAAAAAAAAAGGTGCACACACAACCCAAAATTGTTCTATGGACATGTCCATATATATATGGACAATATATGCGGATGATCATTTGATCAGGTGCGGTTTCCCTTCTGCAACTGTTAGACATCTGGCTAAGCCACAAATGTTAGCTGCAGGGCTGATGCCATTAAAATCACCAAAAAAAATCTGTCTTTTTTTCTCTCTATATGAAACGCATTCAGTGCTGATCGCCTTGAGGAACAGCTGACCCAAATATATTTCTCTAGTTTGCTTTTTCTCTCTTCCTTTCTTCATTTACACAACTCTACATATCTTTCCGTCTGTTAGGTTTGACTCTACGATCATGTTTTTTTTTGTCTCCTGATGGGCTCATTTAAATGTCAGAGTGATGAATGATGAGAATCTTTTGTTTCCAGTGGCTGCGCTATGAATGTGGTGTATGGTGAAGATGAGATGAAACGTTTCCTGGAGGAAGCCACGCAGGTGTCTCAGGTGAGATCTGCACATTTAACCATTTGGCCCGTTTGCAGCATAAATAACTTAATGGGAAGCGTGTTGGTTTTGCCACATGAATCATGCAAAAGCTCAGTCATGAATTATGTAACATGCTGCCTTTTTAGCCATTATCACAAATGAATGATGTTCTTGAAATTACATTTCATCCTATCTATACACACCCTTTAGGAAAACATGCCCTAAAGAGCTTTTTATTTTTTAAAAACAGACCAGACCAAGCACATTTCCAGCAGCTCCAGTTTTTCTGTACCTCAGAGCCAGTATTGATTTTCATCTGTTCCTGCTGCCCCTTACAGTTTTTCACTTAAAAGTGCTGTAGTTTTCCTGAGTCAAGCAAAACCGCTTTACCATCACTGTCACCATCATTGAGCCATTCCTGAGTACATAAGGAAAGATATTGAGTATTTTTTTCACCATAATTTTTTTAAATTACCATCACTAGCAAAAATGAATTTAATTAGATTTTATATTGTCGAGCTTGTAAATTATTCAGACTTGTAGCTACAGGATATAGAGAACTACTGAAGTATTGCAGCACACGGCAATATTTTCATAAAATCATTTTTTTTTTTCTACTTCAAACCAAATCAAGATGAACCTCTGCCAAAGAATGACTATTAACTTTATATCTGAAATGTGAAGCATAGCAGGTTGTTAAATAAAGTTAAATGCCTCATCAATGGTTGAATGCATTTTAGCAATGCCTCTGCTAATTCAATCAATGTTGTAGTCCATTTTGCTAAAAGTCAAAGACTGTTAATTTGTAAAAAAAAAAATTCTGACTTTGACTCTGGCGTATAGACAGCCTCTATGCTAACAGATGTGAACTAAAAGCCACAGAACTCCAACAGTGATTTCATGAGGTCTTTTACTTCACAGTCCTATAACAGTGCAGATCAATTATATATATAGATTTATAGAGTTGTGAACCCTTTTATGGCTCTGGTAAAATGAAAAGGCTTGAGCTGAACACATAATGTTCTCCAGCACTCAATTAGCTTTCGTTCATCTTTCATCAGGTAGAGATAGTGTATTTACTATTTATTCTGTCTCTCCATACTCTCTGTATACTACTGTTCAAAAGTTTGGGGACCGGAAGAAGCTTGCTCACTAAGGCTGCATTTATTTGTTCAAAAACACAGTGAAACAGTAATAACAGTAAAATGTTTTCTATTTAAATATATTTTAAAATGTAATTCATTTCTGTGATATTCAAGCCACATACACACCAAAGGGTCATCCTGTTATTTACTGTATATCAATACAACTGCCACACAGGTCAACTAAACAGTGTGAAAGGCTGAAATAATCAGTATCTGCGTCTGTACATCAGTACCTCATTCAATGAAAATCTAAAAGCTTCACTTTCCCAACTAAATTCGTATTTTAGTGTCTGTCAGGTTGCCTTATAATGCCAGTGAAATGACTAATGGATATTATAAGATTGGAATAGAGACAGGTCTTTCAGCAGGTGCTGGGTGGAAGGGTTTAGTTCTGCAAAGCATTATGCTTTTATTCACTTAAGTATCAGAATGACCCTGTGCTGCATGAGGCTCAGGTTGGTGAGGCTGTAAGAGACGGTTAACAATTCTGGGAAGCACTTCACAAACACTCTGTCCTTGTTAATGTACAGTTATAGCCTTGAAAGGCCCTTTGAATCAGATTTTCAATACAGTATTTTCGATGCCCTTTGCTGTATTCTTAAGAGACTTTTTTTTAGCAACAGTGTTATTTACAGCATTTTCTTTGGAACAGGATCATCCTGTGGTCATCACTAAATTCATCCGAGGCGCCAGAGAAGTGGAGGTGGATGCAGTGGCCAGAATGGGCAAGGTTAGAGATGCTAGAATATTTTTCCAACAGAAAATGGGTAAAATTAGTAAAATAACTATCAGGCACTAAATGGAAATCTGAACGTAGAATATGGAACAATAGATTTTGATTGAAACTGTCCATGTTGCGGTGGTTTGATTGTGTAGAGGATACAATTTGTTGTGTAAGACTTTTGAGAACATTATGCTATCCCACACACCCACACACAAAAACAAGACAACAAAAAAAAAAAAAAAAAAAAAACACTTCAAAAATAAAAGATGGCTCAGTCTGCTTCAGTCTAAAAAATGCTTGTATGTTCTTTCTCTTTTTGTTTCATCACGGCTTTATCACATAATTTTTGTGGTAAGTAAAATTAGGATTATAATGTGATGCCTAGTTTTTGCACTAAAGTGATTATAATCTTAAAGCAATAGTTCACTCAAAAATGAAAATTGGGTAAGACTTTAGTTTAGGGACCAATTGTCACTATTAACTAGTTGCTTTTTAGCAGGCATATTACTAACATATTTGCTGTTTGTTAGTACTTATAAAGCACATATTACTCATAACCATATTCTACATCCCTTATATCCTTTTCACCAAAAAATGACAACCAAAATTGTCATCCTTTATTCACCCTCATGTCATTCTTAACCTGTATGAATTTCTTTCTTATGTTGAACATAAAAGTAGATATTTTGAAGAATGCTGGTTCAAACAGTTGTTGGTCCCCATTGACTTCCATAGTAGTTTGTTAGTACTTATAAAGCACATATTACTCATAACCATATTCTACATCCCTTACATCCTTTTCACCAAAAAATGACAACCAAAATTGTCATCCTTTATTCACCCTCATGTCATTCTTAACCTGTATGAATTCTTTCTTATGTTGAACATAAAAGTAGATATTTTGAAGAATGCTGGTTCAAACAGTTGTTGGTCCCCATTGACTTCCATAGTATTTCTTTCCCTACTATGGAAGTCAATGGGGACCAACAACTGTTTGATTACCAGCATTTTTCAGATTATCTTCTTTTGTGTTCAACATAAGAAAGTAACTTACAGGTTTGGAACGACATGAGGGTGAGAAAATTGTCAAAATCTTCATTTTTGGGTGAACTGTTCCTTTAATCCTATCCAGTACCTGAACTTAACAACTACCTTACTAGTCTCGCGTAGCCAGACCTTCAGACTGACGGCTGAAGGTCTGGAATCCATGGCAGGTTTTTTTTGACCGACATGTCAAACAACTAATCGCAGTTCGTTTCGTTTCAGTGTCACGTTTCGGGGCGTGGAAATGTCGCCACAATAACAGGCCGGTATGTAAAATTCTCGGACGTATTTTAAAGATTCTATGCCGTGAACTAAATATTTCACATACTTTTGAGAATCCAGCGTTTATTTGATCCTGATAAGCGCTCGTCGTCACAGTTGTAAACACGGCAGCTTTCTTCTTTCGTGAGGGGGTTTGGCGCCACGGCATCTTTGTTTCCAGGTGGAACGTTAAAGAACGCGACACATGCGTCTCCCGGAAATCCTGTATAATTCAACCAATCCGATGACGACTTCGAAACTCCTGAACCTTACTAACTATGAACAAGCAGTAATTAAGAGTTTGAGGCAAAAGTCATAGGTAATAGTTTAATAGTGGGAATTGGACCTTAAAATAAAGTGTGATATAAATTGTCATCATTTACTTAGCCTCATGTTGTTCCGGAAGTTTCTTGCTTCTGTTGAACACAAAAGAAGATATTTTGAAGAATGTTGGTAATCAAACAGTTCATGGTAGCCATCGACTTCCATAGTATGGAAGTAATACTGTGGAAGTCAATGACTACTGTCAGCGGTTAAGTTAAGGTGAATAAATGATGACAGAATTGACATTTTTGGTTTGATTTTGAACTATCCCTTTTGGCTGAACAAACAATCTGACTGCTCACACCTAAACTGAAGCTATTCCAGTTCCAGTGTGTGATCAGTTATTAAATCGCATCTAAAGTTTTCTGCATAAAACATTATTACATGCGTCTTACCCCTTGAAATTGATGTTTGCTAACAAGAGCAACTAAATGGTCCATTTTAGTTCCAGCTCTTAAGGACTTGATTTCACTTCCACAATCTATTACTCAGTGCTTAAGTGACTGGGAGTTCAGGGTACAGGTCGTTGCTCGTCTCATCTTGTATATTCATAAACTTGCATATTGTTTTGCAATAACACACAAAGGCTAGTACCATCAACTAAAGTAAAGACACTTTCAAAATGTATGAAGTTGCAACCATTGCAATCAGTGGATGGTTGGGAAAAGTGCAATCAAACACACGAGCCCATCTATGATTTGAAAAATGCAAAAGTAAAATGAGCTGAAATAAATGATAGCTAAACAGCTGTTTTAAAATTAGCCTTAAGTATGGTTGTGCTTACAGGTGCTGGTTCATGCTATCACGGAGCATGTGGAGGACGCAGGAGTGCACTCAGGAGACGCCACACTCATACTGCCCACCCAGACCATCAGCCAGGGAGCTCTGGAGAAGGTCTCAACTTCATTTTTATTCAACAAAGCTTGCTGTGTGAAGCTGGTTTGCACCTTATCCAGGCAGACATTTTTTGCTGTTTTGCTTTTTCGTCACATTTTAACACATTTATTCAATCCTCATCCAATTTGTTTTTGTACACCATTTGTTGTACAATAAGTTTTTGCATTAGGTGTTGTCTTTAAAACATTGTGCCTTTTCCCATTTTTGACTGTGGCGATTCTGTCCTCATGAAAAACATAATGCTGAAACATCCATTACTAAATTTTGCATTGTTACGGTGACATCCAATTTGTGCAGGAAAATCAAATCTGGCTACACAAAACATATGCTGGTGTCATTTTTAATCTAACGTTTCTTTCAGTGTGGTCTTGATTGTGTATTTCATGAGCCACAGATGTGACTTTTCATTTTCCTATGAGCTGAATCAAAGCCGACTGTCAAAAATAGCCTGTGTGCTTGTGAAATCCACCTCTTAAAACAAATCTGACAAAACGTGTTTATTCCCAGCAAAGTGAGAGGGCCAGCAGTCCATCAAAGTCTTCTCTTTTCAGCTGCCTCGGTTTATCAGAGTTGATATTAAACTTTCTGCGCTTCCTAAAATGTACATTTGATTGCTGTATATTTGAGAGGACATGCATAACTCAGACTGTGATTGATGTTTTCTGACTGTGTGTACGTAAAGACTTTTGAGTTATTACTTGTAGTTTTTATTTATATATTTTTATTATATATATTTTTTATTTTAGGTGAAAACTGCTACACAGAAAATTGCAAAGGCGTTTGAGATTTCAGGGCCATTTAACACAATTTTTGGTGAAGGGCAATGATGTAATGGTAAGTTATTGGTGCTTAATGAAAAATGTGTCTGTGACTTTAAAAGATACAAATCTGAACATTACTTTTTCATGGCCAGTGAACCGACAATATTTAGAAACATTTTTGATCCAGAGTTATTATTAGAACTACTTTCCATTTTTTCTTCTTTATTTACTCTGTAAATTATGCTTTCTACTGAAAAACATTGGGTCATAGTAAGGAAGAAATTAATCATGCTAAGCTGTTGAGGTTTTATTCAGCTTTATTGTAATTTGTGGAATATGTCTGCTGGTTACTCAGGACCGTGTGTTTCTGTCTCAGGTGATCGAGTGTAACCTGCGTGCATCTCGATCTTTCCCTTTCGTCTCTAAAACTATTGGTGTGGACTTCATTGATGTGGCCACCAGGGTCATGGTGGGTGAGCCATTGGACGAGTCTCGTCTGCCCTCCCTAGAAAACCCAATCATTCCAGTCGACTATGTTGGCATTAAGGTATGTATGTGTGTTAAGTAAAGTAAATGTGGGTTAGAGCTATGAACTAGCAGTTAGTGCACATGCTTTTTATTGTAGCTTATATTATCAATGTATCAAAAGTATAATTTGTGTATAGACTGAAAATTACAAATGAAACATGGGCAAATAAAATAAATATATATAAAACATATTTTTAAAATATTTTATTTATATATTTATCTATATACTAGGTTGCATTTATTTGATCATATACAGTAAAACAGTAATACTGTAAAATACATTAAAATCGAAAACAGTCATTTTAAATCGTAATATTGTGTGATGGCAAAGCTGAATTTTCAGCAGCCATTATTCCAGTCTTCAGTGTTATGATCTTTTAAAAATCATTCTGCTAATCTGGTGATCATGAAGCATTTCTTATTATCAATGTTAAAAATAGTTACTGAGAAATAGAAACTGAGATTTTTCAGGACTTTTAGGGTTCTTTGAATAAAAAGTTTAAAATAACAGGATTATTTAAAACAGAAATCTTTTGTATCATAAATCTAAAAAAAAAACATTAATATATATTTCCAGCATAATATTACATACCACATACTGTTTAGTAGGGATGGGAAGATTCCCCGATTCGCTCGGTGCATCTGTAAAAAAAAGTTAACGATGCGATGCATCGGTTTAAAAAGTGTGCATCGGCTACAAGTTGTCAATTATATCGCGATGCATCGTTTCTAACATATTTGCATCTGTAAAAAATGATTTATATATATATAATTACTAGTGGATGCACTATACTTTTATTATTTAGAAAGTGACCAATAATCTGTGACCAATATTTTATATTGATTTCTCCTCTCTAAACTCTTTCTCAAGCGTGCTCTCTCATCACCGCTGCTGCGTGAATATGACAAATCACAACACCACGGAGACCCGAGGAAAAACAGGGATTTAAGTCCAAAACCTGGCTTGAAATAACCTTATCTATATACTAGGTTGCATTTATTTGATCATATACAGTAAAACAGTAATACTGTAAAATACATTAAAATCGAAAACAGTCATTTTAAATCGTAATATTGTGTGATGGCAAAGCTGAATTTTCAGCAGCCATTATTCCAGTCTTCAGTGTTATGATCTTTTAAAAATCATTCTGCTAATCTGGTGATCATGAAGCATTTCTTATTATCAATGTTAAAAATAGTTACTGAGAAATAGAAACTGAGATTTTTCAGGACTTTTAGGGTTCTTTGAATAAAAAGTTTAAAATAACAGGATTATTTAAAACAGAAATCTTTTGTATCATAAATCTTTACTGTCACTTTTGATCAGCTGATTTAATCCAACCTTGCTGAATATCGCGATGCATCGTTTCTAACATATTTGCATCTGTAAAAAATGATTTATATATATATAATTACTAGTGGATGCACTATACTTTTATTATTTAGAAAGTGACCAATAATCTGTGACCAATATTTTATATGTAGATTGATTTGTCCTCTCGAAACTGTTTCTCAAGCGCGTTCTCTCATCACCACTGCGCGGGAATATGACGCATCACAACACCACGGAAACCCGAGGAAAAACTGGAATTAAAGTCCAAAACCTGACTTGAAATAACCTAACAAATCAATCGGGGCTAAAGCTGTTCCATTAAAGACCAATTCAATTCACGCAATCTCACTAATTTGTGCACGATTATTCTTAAGCAGACCTTAATGTCGATCATGGATCAAATCAATCCACCATGACAAACAGCGAATATATCCCTGTGCTGTTTAATGCATTTGAGACGTTGTGTTTTCCTCAGTGCATAAATGACATGTCACAGGTATATTTTTCATCTGTAAATGTTAGAGAGTCATGCAATCATATCCATTTTGCTGAGTGGGTGAGGCATGTGAGAGCAACGAGCGCTGCTGCGCGCATGCGCGCTAAACAGACTGAGCGCAATCGAATAGGAGCGCAATAATTCGTAAAATATACATTTTGCTAAATTTGTTTTTGGACATTAAATGTGCCTTTTGTAGAATTTTAAACCTACATATAAAGTGTATTTTTATGATTGCAGTAACTGTACGTGGACTATTGTAATGGGTAAATCAAATGTAAGCTAGTAGGCTACAGTATTAATTACTAAGCTCAAATGAGTTCATGTGTGTTTCTTATAGCAGTTAAAATGTAGTCATTTTCTTTATTATTTATTTTCATTTTAATTCAGTGATATTAACTTTTAATTTAGTTATTTTAATGCTTTAAAGAGCAATTTTAGATTGTAATATTCTAATGTTCTG